TTAGGGGAGGCCAGTGTTCAGTAATTTCGTGGTGACTTTTCTCCATCCATTGAACGATTTTCTTGACAGTTGTGGTCGCCATGTTTTTTTATGTAAGTCGATAGGGCGAGGCACATTATATAGAACAGATGGCCTTAGGGCCGAAGTGTTCTCAAGTGGCGACTGCATACGAGAAAACACAGCTTGGTCAGATTACCCATATGTTGGACCGAAGACTGGGGGAAGGTCTTCTGCTGAAGTGAAGGTGATCCTACTCAAACTGGCTAACCTTAAGACCTAGAACACTTGTAATTATAAACAAAATAATCCAAACCTGGTGATGTAGATGTTTCTGGAAGAATGTTGTGGATAATGAGAGCCAATTGGGTCGCGAAGTGCACAGCAGTCGCCGCCGATTGGTTGGCAGCTTGTTCCAGGCTTGTACCTGCAATGACGCAATGCAGTTTCCATTTGAGATTACGATATTAATGCCCTTGACTTTTTATGATATAGTTGATGCGATTTCTATTGTTTCCTATACCTCTGCAATGAGTCTTGTATTGAAGTAACTAGGGGCCGCGTAACGTATTTGTATTGTTCATTTTTCATCACACTTGCTCGTAAATATTATGATTGCATCGTGGCTAACTTGACTATAATGCCCCAAAATAAAACCTTCGGGCCTTTTTTCTTTCTATTACAGCAATGGTCTATAAGGAGTTTTTTTTTAATTTGTAGCACGACGTACTTCCTTACATAATAGGTCAGGTTCAAGTAAGGTTACTTAAGTTCAAAATTAAAACTTTAGCTTAAAATGTTATCTAAACAGAAATTTAATTGCAATTCAGCCATATACTACTTAAATACTTATTATTAAGATTTGTATTATTTTAATTATTTTTTGTAAAAATTGAACAAATTTTTCTATAATCTTTTTGTTTTTGCTTTTTACAACATTTTATTTGGAGTTGTATTATCTATGAAAAGCTGGCCATCTGTTGATAAAAAAAAATTCTCGCCATTTGCAAAATCCATGATTGTTGTGTTGTGAACTATATTTATTCATACAAGAAAAAAACATTGTAATTATTTCCTCGCAAATGTGATGAAAAAGCATTGTATGTATCCGGGCGGTAAAAAAATACAAAACTCGAGTTATTGAAGCCTTCTAATGGGCTCTCGTTTGTAATTTCTTATTTGGCGACCTTAATGCAGTACGTACCATTGTTATTTTTTTTTAGAAGCATCATTTTAGGACAATTTATAAACAATCCCAGTGTGTCTCAGCGAGAAAGACTTAAGGAAGTTAACATTTTTACACTGGAGCTACAATTATTTGTGCACGGTAGCTATGGAGAGACGATGCAAACTCACTTTTTTCTGTATTTCCCGCACTGCGCTTTCGTGGCTGTTGCTTTTTCTGGACGAACGTCCCATGTTTGCGCGTATTTTCATGAGCATGGTAAATATGAAGCTTGCTGGCAAACAGAACAGAAGCACCACCAGCTCACGGTGGTCTTCGAGCCATTTTATCAAGCGTGATTTTATGGCTTTCGGGAGCATGGCTGCAAAAAAGAGGCATAATATAATATAACAACAGCATTAACCACTTATAGTAGTTGCATCCATGTCGTGTCCAGCACGAATGCAGAAAGGGGTGCAACTCGATACGGCATTTATAATTCGTCGGGTCTTTTCTACCCAAGATGCTGCAAGAGGTCATTGAAATAAAAAAGAAATCCTAATTTGAACAGGGATGGTGGTACCACCACCTTAATATCCAGTATGTATGATTTTGGGAGAGTACAACGCTTAGTTTTAAAAGTGGTGAAGTCCTTCGTGTGAGTCAGATATAATTCTTAAAGCAGCCTCAGTAGTGTATAAAAGAACAATAAAATCGAGTGAATACGAAACATCCCTAAAACGTCGCATTTACGACCTTCTATACCCGGGAGTTAAAACCAGTTTCGCCCGAAGACTCCCATTTCACAACACTTCCACTTTATAACACTATTTGCCGTAAGCTTCCTGAAGTTAAGAAACTGACTACACGACAATTTAAACAAAAAATTGAACTATGGTTGTTAGATATTGATTATCAACAAACTGGGGACTTAATATTAAATAATTAAAGACACTATCGCATAACACACAGACACCTCCACACATAACCACACACGTTCTTATAAATTATGTGGTTTTCCATTTTGGATCTCGCGATACAAGTCTAGAGATTAGTGCGGGGTTCGCTGGTTCATTCATAACACTTTTTTATTATTAAAAAAATAAACATAAATAAATAAACTTTAAACAGAATTTTTTTAAATTCTACTGATAAAAAATCCGAACCAGACATAAGACTCATTATGGCTTATTTTATTTCTAAATTCTTTTCATTTAACAAATTTAATTCAGTAATAGAAGAATTATCATAATTGTTAAAATAAAATATTTGCAAATCGTTTGTAGCGTAAATTGGAAGGTTCTTTGGTAAATAAAAAATAAGGTATTTAAATAGTAACTTTGGGAACTATAGTTCACAACAGGGTGATTTGTATTAATATTAGACATAAGTGGTTGATGACTTTACCATCTAAGTCAGCCTTGAGCATGGTACCTGTAAAGGGCCCGAAACGCGTTTTGAATAAGAAAAAATAGTTCCCCTTTCTAAAATAGATCCTCAAAATAATTAGAAGCATTTATTTCGGCCAACAAAAGACCATATTGACGACCTCCACAGTCAAGTGGTTTGCAGACCGGTTTTCATGGTGTCGTCTCTCTCTTCTCTCTGTTTCTGAGGTCCCGGGTTCGATAACACAAGTGCTTTAGTTACTTACTTCGGGATCGGAGTAATGCATGTGATGTTGTCTAATATTTATTTAATAATATTTATATTAATTAGTGTGAATTCATTGTGGAAGCGAAACACTTCGTGCGAATTCTGGGAATGTCCAAAACATGGGGAGGAACCCCAGTCCACGTCTAGTCCCCGGATGATGGAAAGGGGAAGGCGGAATCAAATCTTGCAATTCCATCGCACACTCTCCGTTATATATTTACCGTTTAAACCATTAACCAACCAAATAAATGGTTTAAATATATCCTGTAGAATACCGATAAGCAGGCTCTCTACTAAATCGGGGATCTCTACTAAATCCGAGTAACCTATAAGCCTCTGGGCACGCTAGTCGATTGATTTGAATGCCCAAGTAGAGGTTACCCACCATAAGCAATGTTTAACATGTCCAAGAAATGGATCGTTAACACTGTCGGCTACTATGGCCAGTAGGCCGTTGACGCTAGCGTGTATATGCAGAGGTCTGTGGCCTACGAATTACTTGGAAGTTTAATTACATTCTCAACCGTTACTATATTCTTAAATATTTGTTTCAATATTCGACATTTAAAAGTAACGTAATCCAAAGAGTGAATTGTAAATCACGAACAACACTTTATTAATACACTGGTCTGTGGTGATAAATATGATTGTGACACGTTTTGATAACTCGATAAAAGATTAACGCATAATGCTAGGGCCATTAATGATTCATGTTGGCAATATAAATTTAATAATATTTGTATTAAATATTACTTCATCAATTCATCATCATCGTCGCCAACCGATTATGTGTTCTACTGGCGTACGCCTCCTCTAAGAAGGACAATGTTCTGTAGAACTGTTTGTCATGATGCCAACAGCAACATTTTATCACCGCACTGCTCGCTACCGGCAGGGAGTCCATCCTCACACTCTGGAACCGAGTCGATCTCGTACTGTACGGTTCCAGAGGAGCTTTCTCCCACGTACAATTAGGTTGTGCAATAAACTCCCTGTCGGGGTTTTCCCGCAGGAATACAGCATTGAGTCCTTCAAAAGGGGTTTGAGAAGAGTCCTAAAGGGTTGGCAACGCGCTCGTGATGACCCTGGTGTTGCAGGCGTTCATAGGCGACGATAACCGCTTTCCATCAGGCGGGCCGTATGCTTGTTTGCTGCCTACATAATATAAAACAAAGAAGGGCTCTTAAAACCGTGATTCACCATTTCAGGCCTTATGCGGCTTGAAAATTTCACTCGTTTTCCAGAGTTGTGGTTCTTTTTTGACGTGTAGGTTTCATCACGATGTTTTCCTTCAAATGTACGCTACTTAGAAAGTCATAGGTACATGCCACCACAGGGATTCGAACTTCGATCTCTCAATAGCGAAGCAACCGTTTCCTCTCAGGGCTACACCGCTCTTATTAATAAATGTTATTTACATTTTTCATTACGTGTTGTTTATTTAACAGGGTATCGGTACAACAAAATTTTGATTTTCCATCAATGGAATAACAAAAGTTTAATAGTTTCTTATAATAGACACAGGCATTAACATTAGTTTAATAATTTCTTATAATAGACACAGGCATTAACATTAGTTTGATAATTTCTTATAATAGACACAGGCATTAACATTAGTTTAATAATTTGTTATAATAGACACAGGCATTAACATTAGTTTGATAATTTCTTATAATAGACACAGGCATTAACATTAGTTTAATAATTTCTTATAATAGACACAGGCATTACCTACGAACTAAATATTTCACAACTAATAAGACATGGAACTATGGCTGGTTAGGTAAATCTATAAAACTTAACGTGTATTTTTTTATAAAGTTTCGTACTCTACAGTTATCAAAGTGAGTATGTATGTCAGATGTCAAATACACATTTGAAGTTGACGAATTTGTAAAAAATCCATATTAGAAAGGCGGGGTGTGTACGCAAAACAGAAACAATTAGCACGTGGTACACCAGCAAAAAAATTTGAGAACCTTTGGTTTACACTAATGCAATTCAATTATTATTAAAAATTTTAAATTTTTAAACAGTGATTTCTGAATGATTGCTTCAAACACGTCTACGAATTGTAAATGAAAATTTTATTTTATTTTTGTTTATAACATCTACTCTCTGCAGCAACCTATAGACGTCCCACTGCAGGGCATGGGTCTCAGGGTACTCTCAGAAATTATAAATATTTTTATAGTTTATAATACAAATACCTGTCGACACTTGTACACTCTCACTGAACTACTGAGTCTAAAAAAAACTACGACATGTGATAATTTACCAGAACACTATCGGATTGTTATCATTGTTAAATAATTTAACGATAATTTGTTGTGGTAGATAATATACATAATTATCAACTCATCCGCGTCGATGAATATTCCTTGACATGTCGATTCTTAGAATCAAATTAACAGAAGGTCGCTGCATCGAGTGCTTCGCAAAAACGATTGCCAAAAAGCTATGTACCCTTTTAAGGGTCAGGCGGTAGTACCAGAACACTGTACTGTAGTGAATAAGTAAAAAAATGTTCCTACACTGTTATACTGCCAAGTTTTCTATACGTGCAGCCTTTGAACCGACTATAGGCATAATCAAACTAAGTATCTTTATTTCGTAGGTAATCAAATTACACTTGAAATCGTTACATTGAAACAAAAACCACTAGTCCTTAGCAGATAAATTTCACCTAGAAATTTTATATCATTACAGACATTCAATAGCCGGAAGTACACTATGCATTCGTATTATCTATGTATTCATTGATTTCATAATAAGCTTTTTTAATTATATTTTTAACAAGAGCTTGAAACGTTTTTTTCTGATAAATTTTGTACAATTTCTGAAATTTTATTATAAAACCTATGCAGTGCCCTACAAGTTTCGAGTTAACTTAATAAGGTCTGAGCATAGTCGCAAGTTTATTTTTGTTTCTAATAACAATGATGATGAGAGTTAGAGTGATGAAGAAGAAGATTGAGAATGATGATGAATTTTACGCCATTATGCGCGAAAACTCGGCCTCACTGCTCGAAGATGTGTGCTCCAACCCAATACTCGAAACCATTGCCAGGAAAATTCATTCTGTTTTGTATGCACCAACTTTCGCCCCGCGTCTGAAGCAAGGTCTATGAGCGACTTTATGTTAATTTTATGGTTCTATGATAATAATATCGTTATCGAGTTTAGGTTTTCGCGATTATTATACAGGATATTTCCTATGTGTAATAATCGCGAAAACCTGAACTCGACTATTTTTTCGGATCTAAATCGCTTATATTTGTTTTTTCAAACAAACCCAAAGTTTCAGGCCATTTGCAAGTCCCATGGTCACGGGTAACTGAGACGTCCTCAACCAGTTATGTCTAATATTCTTTCACGCTTTTCTTTTCACTTCTTTGGCACGTTATTAATTAAATACCTTATTTTTAAAATTTTCTAAAGAATATTCCAATTTACGCTACGTATTATGTTTTACAAATAATTTTATTTTAACAATATGAATTATTTATTAATCAAATTTTATTATTCATTATTATGGTAGCTAGAATAAATTAAAATATATCAATTAGTGCTGCAGTGTTATGTCTGCTTGGGTTTTTCATCAGAATATTATTGCTAGTAACAAATGTGGACTTCCCTGTTGTCTGAAAATAAAAACACACATGATACACTAGTCAATTCCGTTTAGCGCGCTCGAAGCGTACATACAATCGTCCGACCCGATATCGCGAGGACCACCAGTCCCTAAGTGACATAATTAATCGTTTTGAATGTAGATAACTCTTCTCGCCATCCATTTTTATGACCAAATATGGTAATAACTGAACGACATCCGGTAACTTCCGTCTTAAGCGTGATCGAGATAGGTTTTTTATGTAGCACTACAGAATCTCCGGCAGTTTCTGTTTAAAGTATTTACTTTTAGATCGTAGTTGCTGCGATTGTCTCTGTGCTCCGTTAAATACCCATAATGCTCTACCGATTTATTTTATTTAGCCTGGTTAAAAATTGTTATTATTGTTATTAGCTTTTACATTTTTATCAAGCATAAGTTCGGTCTTGTAGTAAGTACTGCTGTCATATCTGTGACGGCTCTGTCCGACACCAGTTTGTTGCCTTGGACTCGGTGGAGCGACAAGCAAAGGAATTGGCAACGATTCTCTTGTAGAGAGGAAGCTTCTAAGCCTTGATCACCGCAGAAAAGTAGCTTGCTTGTCGGTTTTCCATCGGATACAGTTACGAGGTGTACGCAGGAATTTTACAATTATTATTACTAGATAATCCGGAGCGCTCTACCCTTGTGTCAATGACTTACCACTCGTTAGCAAGAAGTAGAAAGAGTCCGTCCAGGGAAGTACTGCCACCTTACCTATTTCTGCCGCCAAGCAGTAATGTGAGCATTACTGCGTTCCAGTTTTGAAGGGTTTGAGCGCTGCGCTGGTGAAATTACGGACATATGGTTTTCAACTTATCTCTCAGGGTGACACTGCAACTGCTATGGATAGGCGTATCGCTTATCTCTTGGTATCATAAAAGAAAAGTGTTTTGCTTCCTCCTTCCTAATGCATACAGTAAAGGAATGTTACCGGTATCTGTGTTTCCCGAAAGCTATATTTTATTGCTAATTATGGCTACAAAGAGTAGACTATACCGATTTCTTTCTTCTGTCCAATAATCGCTGTGCCCATTTCAAGAAGATTGAGAAAACAACGACCTATTCAGGTTTCGTAAAAACAGTTCAATAATACTTGCGTGTTTTGATTTAATGACTGAAATCACTAACGTAATAGAGATAATGTGGACATTGATAAAGCTATCTGTAAAACGTATTACGAAGCCCTAAGCCCTGAACATGTACAATGTAAATGCTAATGTGAACAAAACTATTGTGGTGTTCCTCAAGGAAGTAGACTGGGACCCTTAGGCTGCTATCAAACGGACTGCATGCAGTCGTCATTCGCTTAGGACAGGAGCTTACTGTAAAGGTTGATATCGAAATGGAAGCACAGTGTTACTCTAATTACTGTTACTCCATGCCGGTGACGTAATCCAGTCAAAAAAGAAAGTCAAGAACGAAAATATGCCTCGTGGATAGATAAATTATAATTACGTTGCTGTCCAGAAGACGATAAAGGTGACTGGACCTGAAATTGAGATAAAAACAAATCCACAACTATTTCAGAATGTCGGTTGTCGCTTTTGGTAAATTAAACGGTACTTTAAAAGAATCTGTGTTTAACATAGACACTATCATACGGAAGAGTGTTGATTATTGTATCACTGATTGCGGCGTAATTGAAAATAAATACGTAATTGCGCTATATGAATTCATCCATTATTGTTATATTGGGAAACAGAAGATAATTTATTTATTTATTTGGACACAACATCGGCATACACAGTGAAACTTACGTTGTTTTGCCATAGAACTTTTTATATTGTATGTTGTGCCATCATAGGCGTATATGCAGCAATTAATTTAGATTTTAAATAAAAATAAAAATAATAGAACATATAGGGGGAAAAAGACAAAACTTGACCGTGTGTGTTGTCCAAAAATAAATAAATAATTATTATTCTTATCGAGTTCTTAGGTTTTCGCGATTGTTACACGTAGGAAATGAAACTATTTTTCCGGATTTAAATGGCGTATATTTGTTTTTTCAACATGCCCACGCTAGCTAACTGGCTTGAAACTTCAAGATATAAAGCAAGTCCTACATGCGAATAAGTTGAAGATTCCACGCCAATGCCACAGGCCCCGTGTGAAACCACAAACAATCAAGCGAAGACCTGCCATCTTACCTTACGTGAGAGGTGTTACAGACAAGATCGGAAGAGTCCTCAGGCGCGCATCTATCAAGACCTATTTCAAGCCCCTGAGGAAGATTTCTCAGTTCCTGAGACCCGTGAAATGTAACATCCCCTTACAGGATGCAGGAGTTTACAAGCTTGACTGTGAGTGCGGTCTCTCTCATATTGGACAAACAAAGCGAAGTATTTGTACCCGCGTCAAAGAACATATAGCTGATGTCAAACACCGTCGCGTAAACAAGTCTGCAGTCGGCGAGCATGTCATGGATAAACCTGCACATTCAATGAAGTTTGACAAACCCCAGGTCCTTGCAAAAAAAAAAAAGTCGAAGTCCGTTATCTACCCAGGATGCTGCGAGAGGCCATTGAAATTAAAAAAAACATCCTAATTTCAACGGGGAAGATTTCTCCGTACCACCAGTTTGGGATCCAGTATTTTCTCTAATGAAAAATCCCAAACAGACATAAGACTGCAGTAATAATTAATATGTTTTAGTTTATTCTAATTTCTATTAATAATTAATAATAAATTGAACTTAATAAAAATTCATTTAATAAAATAATTTGTAAAACTTAATGTAACGTAAATTGGAAAGTTTTCTTTGTAAAATTAAAAATAAGGTATTTAATTAATAACTATTGTAACTATAGTGAAAAAATAGGGTGGTTTGCATCAATATTAGACATAGCTGGTTGAAGACTGTACCACCTCAGTCAACCGTGACCATGGGACATGTAAAGGGCCCGAAACGTCGGTTTGTTTGAAAAAACAAATATTCGCGATTTAAATCCGAGAAAATAGTTTCATTTCCTATAATTATTATTCTTATAAAAAGAAAAAATTACCGTCTAAATGATTAGCAGAAAACTTTTAAAATACTACCAAAGCAGTTGTTAAGATGAAAATTATATATTTAATATGCTAATTGCTGCTTTCGATTCTCGGATTATATATTATAAATTACACAACAAATTGTACACAGTCGAAGTCTCGACTGCACTCAGTTGAAGCCGAGACTACAAGGAATTGAACATGGTAACTGCATAAATGCAGTCTGTCTGATAGCAGCCTTTCTGTTTTTAGCTCTACGTAAACAATTAACCAAGTCCGATAAACCGTGGATTTTTATATTATACCAAGTGACGGGACGAACACGTCGTACTTCTGGTGGAAAGCAACGCACCTATCCATAGGAATTGCTTTTGTATTAGGCCCGTCGTCCATTTATTTGAATGGATACATGGGTCTTGTCAACTTAAGTCTCGGAGTGACCGGTACAGTGGCAGTGCCTATCAGATCGTTGCAGTAGTGATTATTTATATACCGTAACAAATTTATGAAAAAGAAACTTGTAGGTTTTTGTTGTACTATCTCTGACACTTTTTATATCTATATTTGGCAGTAAGCTCAAACGTGAAAGCGTTCTCCCCGATGATCTCCGTTTTCTCTTGTCACCGCACAAAGCTGCCACTATACATTTCTATTTTTATACGGAAATAAAATCTGATCAATTATTAAAAGTAATAAATAATAATATAAATAAATAAAATTGTTTATTCAGTAACATAATGTACAGAGAAAACTAAAGACTACTTATGCTATTTAATGTAAAAATAACACATGTACCTGAACTAGGAAATTACTGTATTTCAGGTAAAAAGTACTACTAATTATAAACGTGGATACTATAATAATAATAACGTAAATCTCGCACTAGGGAAACTATGTATCGCGACTGCCATGGATACGCACATAGACACCCAAACTCCCGAGAAAGTACATGTAGGCCATTCAAATATGTCTCCTGGCCCGGGGATCGAACCCGGGGCTTCTGCGTGGCGGACCAGCATGGTAACCGTTCGGCCACAGAGGCAGTTAAAGTCATGAAACAAAAGTTATAGTTTATGATATTAGTGGTATAGTCCTCGCAGGACTTTAAGCATCTATAGAGTCAGCGTGGATAATAATATTGAAAGATTGAATTCAGATCTAGAATCTAGAAGGTTTTTAATAATGAGGGCTTGTATAAAAAAATGTTAAATAAGTGGAGTAAAAGATGTTTAGCAGGATCGTCTAAAGTGGCTTTAAGTAATCTCCGCCTACTCTAATAAGATTCCAAAGACGTGAATAATTTATGTATGTAATTTCACAAAAAAAGCAATTAATTTGATTACCTGGGATTGTGATTTATCAAGCTGAGACGAGTGATAAACAGCGCTGGCTTGCAAATGTCGCGACGAATCACCGGCCGGCGCGGCGTAAGTCCGGCTTGCGAATTATCAAAATCAGAGCTGGCGATAATATCTTTTATACCGTGCTATCTATTGGCGAACACGTTGTATACAAATGATAATAAGGTGGACATTGTACCTTTATGTGGGTGTTATAGAAACTTATTAAGAGATAAACCCAGGAGATAGCCAAGCATGGCGATTTTTGCAAATATATTTTTTTGATACTTACTTTGTTTACTAGAAAACTTTTTACCACAAAATGTTCAACACTTCAACCAAAACTATTCCTAAAATGTTATAAACATTACAGAATACAGTCTTTAAAAAACGATTTAAACTTTCCCTTTGTATAACCATAGAGATAAAACCTCAAAACAGTTTATTAGTAAACTGTTTTGAGCTACACCAAGCGTAGATAAACGGGCTCTGTAAATGTGCGAAGTAAATAAGACATCTTGGAAGCAAAACCTAATATAACATTATCATGAATATTTGATGTTCATTGCGTGCTTTCGAAAGTGATTATTCACTAAATGCCTTAGAAAAGAAGCAATGTATAGAAAGGTTAATGTTTTTATCGTTGTCTATTAACTGTAGGTGTTTTATGATATACATATTAACCTTGAGCAGAGTTATAGTAGCGATAGACCGGTCTGTGACATAATAAAGTAATATGATATTTGATTATCAGACTGGACGGCTACGAGTCGTGTGTTGTGACGTTTTACTTTGTTTATCCATAAAATACCTTGACTTGAAGCTATAATTATTTATTTGGATAATGCTACTTAGACACACGCACGTACACCACTAAGAATACAACAGATTAGTGTTGCAACGATTATAAATATTCGGTCTAGCTATTCGGCTTGATTAACGCGTGCACGAAAATTGTCACGAATAATTGCAGCTTATTAGCTTTTTCATGAAATAATTTTGTACATAATCAAACTTTAATTTTCTTGTTTATATTTTAAATTTAAGACATAATGAAAAAAGTAATTGTTTATTTCACTTCAATAATAGCATTTAATTTTATTTTGGTTAGCAAATAATAAGTAATTAGTTGATTTTGTTAGCGTTTATTTAGTCTGTCTAAACTACATAATAAATAGGTACTTTTCATTTGATATGTGTTACCTTTTTTCAATATCTTTTACGCTTTCGCGAATTTACAATGTATGTTCAGCGTTAATAAAAGCTTACAAGATAACTTGTTTTTTTTTCGTATTTGTTCCCACTGTTTTTAGGTAGATATTGGATATTCGGCCAAATAGCAAAAAAAAAACCGAATAGTAACCGAATACTCGTTGCAACTCTACTAATAATTAATAAGATATCACTGTGGCCGTAACAAATTTTGTAATTTCATATTAAAAATATTTAATGATTTGAGCTTTGTTACACAATTAATATAATGTCATATACATATATAGGAGTTCGAAAATGTGAGAATCGTTTTTTTTTTCCCTCCAACAACGGTTCGAAATAGAGTCGACTTAAAATAGTTTTATATTTATTTTATTTAAAATTAATTTCCGAAGAGCAAATATTTATTGAAGCGTAGCCAGCGAAACTTTATTGGCATCCACTGAAATTGCACAATCTTCGAATGGAATTACTACTCGTAGCATAAAAAATAAAATTCTATAGGTAGTGACGCAGCCCAGATTTGGAGTTAATATCTGTGTCTCGAGATAATAATGTTATGTTAAGTCTATGAGAAAAATTATTAAATTGTAAAATGTTGAGCGCGCAAACTTGCAAAACTGTGTGAAAAAGAAAGAAATGACTGCTGCGCTCCGGGAATCGACATTCTGCCTACTTAATAATGAATGAATTTGAAACCTTGGTATTATTCAGACTCCTCATGTTAGAGCTTACAAAAATATTAATTTTCATTTCACATATTTATTGATAGTCTTATTTTATACATTCTTTTTACCATGTATTTATATATGTATTAGTGTATCATCACTTACTTAGTGTTATGTATACGTGTATACTTTTAATATAATAAAATTATTCTTGTAATTATTGAGTATGTAGCATTCAGTTTCATGATTTTTTAGATGTTATTGCCGATCCAGGAGCTTTTCCTTTCAATTATCAAAGGTTAGCTGGAAGAAATCCCTTTATGGGATAAGTCTTTGTACACAATAACGTTTTATTTCTTGTTAAAAATATGTAATTTGTTTTGTTGTACAATAAAGTGTTTACATGCATACATACAATGTTAAAATAATTATAGCAGGAAAATAAAGTTGATTAACGGTTTCTACAGCCCATAAGAAATGTAAAAATAGTACCTAGTCAAGTTTAATTACTTTCCTTTTATTATTTGTTATTTTCAAGTCGTTCAATTTTATAGTTTTCATTGGTGTTAGTTACTAAATAAGTATTATATCATCATCAATTGTCTCGTTATATTGATTCAATTTCTTCAATTCCAGGGCATTGATCACTTTGAGGATATCGGACCTTGCGTGATCATGGCCTCCCCGGGCATGATGCAGTCTGGCCTGTCCAGAGAGCTCTTTGAGTGCTGGTGCACTGACCCCAAGAACGGAGTTATTATTGCAGGTATGTGGTTGTTTTTTTTTAACAAAAATTAATAATAATAATATTATTTATTTAATTCATATACACATTCAGTAAAATAAAAAACAGTAGGTACGTTACATAAAATACTTATTTCTATGATTGTACGTGTTACTTATGTAAAATGTTTAAAACTCCCGAATCCCGAACTAAGCAAAAGCTTGTATTTTGAGATTCAGTGTTCCTCCACTCACCTGCTATCACCAGGTAAATATCCAAATATTAAATTAAATGACCAAGAGGTAAAAATCAACACTATAAAAATGGCAATTGCCATGGTATGTAAGTATAAATACTACGACAATAATACAATTAAAAAAAAACTGCCTACGATGCATGGGTGAAGTGACGGACTATGGCCCTTAGGTAAGAAAGATCTAGGACCAACTGATGAAGATGGTGATTCTAACTGTGACATTGAGCAGCAGAAGGCTTGACTCAAGTAATGTCTACCAGTAGTGATTAAAAGGCGAGTATATACACGAATCAAGAATACCAGAAGGCAGTTAGTTCGTGTAGTAGTAACAATGATAGTTGTAAATTGGCAACACTAGGTTGATTTGGTTGTCTATATAAGAGGTGAGCTATTTTTAGTGTAACTGTATATTGTCTATTGGATTCTTAGGTTTTGCCGATGGCTAAACATTGGAAATGAAACTTTTTAACCGATTTCAAAAAAAGGAGGAGGTTCTCAATTCTGTTTTGTATGTATGTTACGCGATGACTTCGGCCGAAATTAGTGAACCGATTTTGATGATTCTTTTTTTGTTGGAAGGACGTCGGTAGTGGTCCCATTTAAATTTGAAGAAAATATTCCTCCTCCAACGGAAGCAAACTAGGGATTGAATCGATTTCTATAAAACTTGTCAAATGGATGTAATTCCATGTACTTTAGTACTGAGATTATTTTTAACAAACCTGTGTGTGAGTGAGAGTGGAAAGTGAACGTACTTTTCCACCATCGAGGCGAGACGAGACGAGGCGAGGAAAGAATTGAAATCTCGCCGACCTATTTCGACCAAAAATTGCCATTGCGAGCTCGCACTCTTGGTTATGGATAGTAAAGACACAGTATAGTTAGTATAGTCTAGCGATAAACACGCGGCTAAAGTACCATGTCCCGCAAATTCTTATTATTAAATATATTAAAGGAAGAAGAATCAGATGCAGATACTGTAAGAAGAAATAATCATGTTGTGATATAAGCTGTTTGTACCTTCTAAGATAAAATAATATAAATAAATAAAAATTACTTTTTCGAAAATATTTTTTTTATATATAATCTTTTATCCCAGGGCAAATATTGCGAACTAGCAAAATACACATAAAAAAGTTTACAACTGGCGCTGGTATGTTTATATATTACAACTATATTGTGTATACACACACATATATATGTTCGTATTTAGATAAATAGTATGTTAGATTTAAATTGATACATAATCCTAATTGATAAAGCCCTGTCCTCGATACTATTATCCCGCATTCCATCTAAGGGAGAAGGGGGTGACTGAAAACCAGCGCTGCAACTGTCATCAACAGGCGCAGCACCAGCTGAGACACCTCCTTTTGCCTCCTGTTTATTACGTCATTTAATATAAGTTTATTTGTCATTTAAGTTTTATTTATTATCGTTTTTTTTTTGTACAAGTTCAGTTTACATTGGAGGCAATAAAGAGATTTTATTATTATTATTATTATTAGTATATATATTTTTGAAAACGATGCAATGTTTTAAAAATGGTTACATAATTATGATAAAATCACAATCCCAATCGTGTACATTTTAAAGCAAATATAATATAATAGGCATTGTATAAATATTTACGAAAATGATATGGATACATGTATGCCACCAGGACTATATATTTTTCATTGACTGTAGTTTGTTTATTTTTGTCTGAAATAAAAGTATACCTTTTTTAAAATGGTGTCGTGATTACAAATTTTTGAAAACATCGTACGAGACATCGTGTATCGTGTTTCCGTTTCAGAGTTAATAAAGAGTCTATGAAGGCAGCATACGGTTCAATGTTACATCAACAAATGTTTCAAATCTCGTCTCGCGCATCCTCGTCAATGCCGACCATTTTCACCCAAGATGCGTTAGGAGAGAATTGATATTTTGCCATACAAGTTTTAAAAATCGTCTCGCCTTGTCTTGTTTCGTCTCGCCTCGCCGGTGCAAATACACCCTGAGACCTGTAAATAACCCGAAACGTTGATTTCTTTAAAAAAAAACGCTATTTAGGTCCGAAAAAAATGTCTTTTGTCTATTGTCAAAAACCGTTACAGAGCTGCACTCCTTTAATAATAATACATTATGACAATCCTTCCCACCGGTGCCCAGGCTACTGCGTTGAAGGCACCCTGGCGAAAACAATCCTCTCCGAACCAGAGGAAATAACGTCAATGTCGGGACAGAAGCTGCCGCTCAAGATGTCTGTTGATTATATCTCGTTCTCTGCGCATACGGATTACCAGCAGACTTCCGAGTTCATCAACATCTTGAAGCCACCGCACGTTGTGAGTCCAACTCGTGATTTTGATTTCTCATGCTTAATTTAACAACTATTTTCTGAACGATGAACTGTTTCTTTGTAGCGCAAAATATAGACTAAAGGCTTTGGCGATGGTCACTCATACAAGTTATAGAAGTGACAGCAACTTCCAATAATGTGTTAAATATTTTGCTTTGATGGAATAAAATATGGTAATTAGTAACCTATAAGTAAATTAGTAGCAGTAGAGCTCTTTGTGAAAGAGTCCGTCCAGGGAAGTACTTATTTATTTCTCCGCCAACCAGTGATATGAGCATTACTGCGTTCCTGTTTTGAAGGGTAAGGGTGCTGGTGAAATTACAGGCACATGGGACTTGTCAACTTATGTCTCAGGGTGACGGGCGCAGTGGCAATGCCCCTAAGAACTTTGCGATTTAAAGCTCTAAGTGGCACTGCAGCTGGTATGGATAAAAGTATCGCTTGCCACCAGGCGCACGACTTGTTCGTCCCGTCGCTTAGTAATATAAAAAAAAAATCAGTATGTTTGAGTGGCCAATGAGAATGTTTGAGAAATATAAACGTTTTATCACGTCTCGACATTAAATTGTTTTCAAGAGAGTGTAATGCATATTTTTTAAATAGCTACAAAAGAAATGTAGGCCGTTTAGGGTGAGAAGGTACGCGGTGGGAAGGTGTTGACGCGCAGCCGGCCGGTTTCAGGTGCTGGTGCACGGCGAGCAGAACGAGATGTCGCGGCTGAAGGCGGCGCTGCAGCGCGAGCACCGCGGCCGCCTGGCCGTGCACACGCCGCGGAACACGCAGCAGCTGGCGCTCACCTTCCGCGGGGACAAGACCGCTAAGGTCTGCCTTCCCTCACTCGCACGCAAGTCGACACTCGCGAAATTACTGTGGTTCCACCGCGCCCCGGTCAAGCGTTGCGGCCGGCATATTGAATGAATGAACGAATGAAATATTTTTTATTGCATATTCAATTTAATCACAACACTGGATATTAATTCAAGCATAATTATAACTTTTTTCTATATACATTGTGCTGCTTTATATATTATTATCTTTGATATTTCGATTTAATGACTTGAATTACAATTATATAAATAAAGCGTTGTAACTCGTAATATGTGGAATTCAAGATTATCCAGTTGCTGAATGTCAGTACAACAACAACCGTCGCAACAACAGCCTACGTAACAACCGTCTTTAAAATATTGCGAAACCAATTAAAAGACGTCTAATTAACTCAAAATTCAAAGACACATTGAGCTATTTCTGGCCAAAATAATCCTTATTCAAAATATTAAAAAAAAAATCCATTTCATTTTTAAATATATTTGAGAAATTGTTTAAGTGTCTATAATAAACTATAACATATAAATTTTAATGATTTTTGCAGGAAGTGAGTAATTAGTTTTTCTTCGATTCTGAGAAAGTCCATTTTTTGAGTTAATAAATACACTATTGTATTAACAATGCGATGTGTGAAGAACAGTTTTGGTGAACACAGGTGATGGGGTCGCTGGCCGTGGAGGCGCCGGCGCCGGGCCAGACGCTGCAGGGCGTGCTCGTCAAGAGGAACTTCAATTACCACATCCTCGCGCCGCAGGATCTCAACAGCAAGTCTTCTGCTCTTTTTCCTACCTACGCTATTATTTATATATATATATATTTCCTTTTTAGATGCTTAGATATAGAACGTATAAAAGAGAAAACGATGAAATTTAAAATATTACCAAGTGTCACCCTTAAGTAGTACTTGTATATTGTATCATGTTAATAGTCGCACAGATAGCTACCAGTCATACCAGCTATAGGTACTCAATTTTTTTCTCCTTCGGGCATTGACCTACCAACAAATGGACGTTGGGTTTGCGTTAAAAAGTGTCCGCACCTATAGGGCGTTAACATTGCATACCACAGATATATATCTAGATAGACGCCGCAAGTGTACGTACTTCGCGTGCTCAAAGTAAGTGAAATTCACTTACTTGCCGCTGCTACGCTTCAGAACGCGCTCGACCGTTATAGTAGATATAAACCAGTCGAAAACCCGAAGAATACATAATTGTGTCATTATAAAGTGCAAAAGCACCACAACTGTCGGTAAACGGGTAAACAGGGACGTTGCCTTCCACGGGCAAGTGATTTTGTAATCAGAAGATGCATACTTTATTTTAAACACATTTTTTTTGTTTTTGTATGAATTTCGAGAAAACAAATATGCAATCGAGTGTGTGCCTCATGATTTGTAATACATTGCGGCTTTTACTTGGTGCGATATATTTGTGATTCTTTGTTAATACGCCATGAAAATCGAACGAACGCACTTTTGTATAATGCATTCAGTTCCATGGTACGGCCGCTTGTACATTTCTTTGGCCAAATTTGACATTTAGTGATGTATACGTTAGGCAACGCTGCTCTCGATTCTGATCGATTTTGAAAACAAAGGGACGAAAATTATTATGACCGCAGCAATATTATAAAAATATTCTAGAACTCTTTTGTTATAACGTTTCGTTTAATATATATTATATATAATTTTTGCAGCATGTTGCCTCGAATGTCTGAATATAGTGAGCAAATAATTACATACATCGCCGGATATGTAGTACGAGTAATACAAAAAATACATAATGCAAAGAATTAACAGTGCGCTGTCTTTACAAAAACCAGTAGTTGGTCATACGTATGAATTTGTTGCTTTCGAGGACGAAGGTGGTCTAGTTTATCCCACCTAAGATGCTCTCCAAAAATGCAGAGTAGCAGAGTTAGAAATCCGATAAATAATAAATATTAAATCAGAAAAATTTCACACGAGGCCGTCATTAAGTAAATCTCTTCTGATTAATAAGATTTTACTACATTTTGTCAGCAGTAACATTTTCACTGTCTTGCCAGTCATCAATTTGATCAATTAACAACAGAAAACGATCTAGTAAAATAAATTAAGGCAGTCGCAAGTTCATATATTGACGTGCGTTTTCATTATTTAAGTTAATCGATAAGACCTTCTATTACAAAAATATGTTATATAATAAGCTCATTTTATTGGAAAGACAATAATTTTAATATTTGAAGTTGACTAAAAATTAGTTTTCATTTTTAAGTAATCAACATTTTTTAAAAACAAGTAAAATAAAGGACTTAACTATCTTATTCTAGTATTTTTCTACTATATTAATATTACGACTACTTGTAATCAACAAATACTTGAACAAAAAATATTCTGCTTAGAATCGATTAATTGAATGGAATACGCGTGTTTACGCGGCGTAATAATAAACATAATTCAAGCCACCTCGCATCAGTTTTAAATGCAGCTTAGGGCAACAATGTTCGATTGATCTAGAACTATATTAAAAGTCTTTTCCATAATTCCTTGTTGGAAATTTGGACTTGCAGAACCGGGGGAAACCTTTTTCTTCGATGATACGTGGGGCGCACTATAAGTTTCCGGAATGAATAAGAAAAAATACTATAAATGGTCAGAAAGGATTTTAATTTTTGTCAAAATATTCTCCGTTAGCGTTAATGCAGTTTTTCATATGAATGAACCGTTTTTGAAAACATTTATGCTACTCCTCCGTGGCAATCTCTGAAACTTATTTTTCATACTCTTCGACAGCCTCTTCAGGTGATGGAAATCGTTGACCGCGTGGTTCTTAATTTTTGGAAATAAATAAAAGTCACAAGGTGCCAGGTCGGGACTGTACGCGGGATGGTTCATAAGGTCAACGTTGTTCACCTTCAAAAATTTATTTGTCTGTCTGGCCGTGTGAGAACTGGTATCATCGTGGTGCAAGATGATTGTTGATGAGTTCTGGCAAACAAATGGTCGTGTACCAATCACTATTCACGGTACAACGATTCTCTATAGCAACATTAGCCACGTGTCCAGTTTTATTTAAAAAAGTATCTCGAAAGATGTATGCGCTCGATTGCTCCTTTTTTTGGGATCGTAACTATAAATCCATGTTTCGTCACCTCTTACTATGTCCCACACCAAATTTGACGCCCCTTTGTGGAATCTGGTAAGCATGGCATTGTACCAAGTGTTGCGATCCGTTTTTTGAGCCTGAATTAAATTGTGTGGGATCCACCGAGAGCACAGATTTTTCACACTCAAATGTTTGTGTAGTATTGATTGTATTTGACTCATGCCTATGCCTAAATATGTCCGAATCTCATGGTAAGTCACCTGTCTGTTTCGATCATATGGGGCACAGCATCGATGTTTTTGTTACTACTCCATTACTCTTGTGTTCAAGTAATTTTCAGTCGAAGTTAAATATGGTGCATTTTGTTAAGTTTTCGGTAGAAGCTGAATATGGTGTTTTTGGGCCCTTAAATTGTTGCAAGCAAAATTAGGCAGTAGTGCAATGACGTTACAATTGAAATTAAATGTTTTAGTTTTTTTATATTTCGTTACATGTCACTACGATCGTATGTTAACTTTGGTCATTTTTTTCTGAGGTTTTTGTATTAGACCCGAAGTCCATTTGTTGATAGGTCAATGCCTTCGGGCCACGTACGTTTGCTATGTTACACGGCCATTTATAGTTATTAAACAAAGATCGAACACTTACAAAAAATTCACTTCGATCCGGCTGGATTCGAACCAACGTCTCCTAGCAAACCGTGCCAGACGCTATAAAAAATAGGCCACCACGGTACAAAACAACGGACCTCACGAATTTTTCCATGTGCTTCTTGCAGATCTTTGACGACTTTTTTGTCGTAGCGCCATCAATAAAAGTTTTTCTTCACTCACCTTTACAGCTACCAGCCACTCATTAGAGATGTCACTTTAATAATATTGTCATTAGGTTTTATTGAATGTTTTATTATAGATTATAGACTTTTTTTAGGTCATCTGTTTGGAACTTAGTGGGGGACAACCTGGTTTTATATATATATTTTTTTTTTTATATGTACCTCCCATGAAATAAATAAAACACAAAATCTACTACTTTATGTTCAAAACTTAAAAAAACCATACTTTTCAAAAGCACCTTCCTAATAATCACTATTATCGTTATTATCGGGCCGCGCACAAAACCATAGCGGATATGGTTTGGGAGTTATTTTTCTTGCAGTCGTAGTAAAAGTTTGCCAATTGGCGCAAAGTACTCGACCCAGGGTGCACCAGACGTACAGAAAGAAAAAAGGTACGGTAGTCGTGTAGAGGCTCCTTTAGTGCACCCCCTGCTCCCTATGGCTCAGTTATACCAACAATCGTACTGGGTGATGACTCAAAAATGGAGAGCGACAAGTCAATAAGGACTAGTGTTAGCAGCCATTGTATCCGTGTCCAGAATACACGGAGCTGTCGCAGTCGGAAGTGACGCAGCGGCAGTCCATCCACTACGTCGGCTCCCCGGCGCTGCTGCGGCACGTGCTGCTCCAGCTGGCCGGCACCGTGGAGTTCCTCTCCGAAACCAAGTACCGCCTCTACGGCTGCATCGACCTCACGGTCGAGAACTCCACCATCATCGTCGAGGTAAGATTCTTGCACTTCAGATATCCAAAGACCAACATAAAATGGTCCATGTCCCTGCCGCTCGACCCAAGCAAAATGAACGTATTAGTAAGGGCAAAATTAGAATTAGAGCCAAGGTAGTATCGACTCTTAAATCATCAAAATAAAACACTGAACACAAAGAAAATAGAACAGTTCTTTTCCTAAATTGGTCCTGGTAATGTGTCGTGTCCGTGTCCCGCAGTGGCAGGCGCAGCCGGTGACGGACATGTTCGCGGACGCGCTGGTGGCGGGCGTGCTGTCGGCGTCGTCGCTGCCCGCGCCCAAGCACCTGCCGCTGGCGCCCAAGCTCGACCGGATGCACTTCAAGGTATTTCACGCATCCTTGTTTTCGTCCCGAACGTCCCTCTGTTTCAATTTGTCTCATGCGGAATACGATTTCAATACTTGAAGGAAACACTTTGAACACAACATTTACAAAACATGCTGCTGTCTATTTAGCAATGGACTTGGAATGCAGGTTATATGAAAAAACTTTATCTAAGAGTATATTAGACAGCGGCGTATATACGAGACGTGTTAAAGCGAAATGGGTAGGCGACATCGTTAGAGTCGTGAGTCGTAAATGGGCGAGACTAAAGGAAGAAGGATGGCAAATGACACATACTACCCGAGGCCTGTACACAGCAGTGGGTGAAATCACGCTGTAGGTTGTGACTGGATAATTTTTTCACTTTTGTTATCTCATTACCGTCGTATATCGGACGGATACAACGTAAATGATTGGTGTCCGCCAGGAATGTGTGATCGAGATGCTGCAGGAGATGTTCGGCGAGGACTCCGTGCCGAAGATGTTTAAGGGCGACAAGCTGCACGTGACTGTCGACGGGAAGAAAGCCGATATTGACTTGCTCAATATGGTATGACAAATCTCGTACCCATTGCATGAACCTGCAGCACCTGACTAGGCCCATCTTGCTAGCCTAAATTTTTTGAACTTTTTAAAGTTTTCTTACACTATTCTAGCCGTGGGAATCTTGTGTGACTTGAACATAGCAGTACCCTTAGTAAAAATATTTGTTACTCTATATTTAATGGGTTGACAACTTGAACTTAAAAATAGCCTAAAAAGGGTATCCGACGCCCTGTTATATAATGAACACGAATTCCAGGAGGTGACCTGTCTGGAAGACGAGAACCTCGAGCGAGTGGTGCACTCGGCAATCACCAAGTTGTACTCTGCGTTGGCGCCGGTCAAGCCGCCGTCCGCTTCGTGATAGCAGACCGAGCTTAAGCACGAGGACGATTGAATTTGACGCCCTCTTCAACGTCGCCGGTAGTCTAAGGCACGTTATCCTCCAAAGTGGAGAGTGGAGGGCTTAATGTGTCCCAATTACATCTTTGTTTCAACACTCTACTTTAGTGGATAATGGGCCTTGCGGTTCTCACAATGACGGCGTTCGGTACTTTGCCTGTATGAAAGCGTGCGCACGCGCATCCTATTAAAATACCCTCGGTAGTATCTCCATACTACCATTAAATAAAAAGAAACATCTCCATGTTTCTTTTTATTTAATTTTTTTTGTTGGGTGGATTTTTTAAGTATTAATTTGTTTATAAATTACTTTCTATCGCTAATAATAATTGCACACACGGTCCATTAAAAATAATGGAGATAATCCAACATCAATAAGTTTCAAACATGTTAAATGACCGAATGCCGAACGCCGTCAAGTTTTGAGACTCATACAGTTCCAGTAACGTATTATATAAACTTACGGGTGGTTTCTTTTTTACAATATAAGACCAATTCTGTAATAGATCTCTAAAAGATAGCATCTTGAAAGATGCTATCAAAAAGATACAGGATCGGTTCCAGTACAAGACTTATTACTAATTGTTAGTAAATAATGAAAATAAATGTGAAATATATTTTAAAACGTGTTTTTATTAACAAATATGGTGTAGTAAGGCGATGTTCTCCACAATCTCGTGGAGAACATTTCTGGTTCATTGACTTACTTTCTTTCTTTCATTGATTGCCTTACAAAGATGAAAGTGAAAATAATAACAATTGTATTTTATTGCACGTGTCATTCGGCGGTTCTAGAACTTACTGGAGTCCCTGATCCCGTCCGACTGCGCCAAGGAACACTGCCTCTTGCATTAAATAATTCAAAGGTCATCTTACATAGGTCACGGGAGAAGGGAGATTTTAAAATAGATGACCGAAATAATAACGTGGCATAAAACTGCATTAATCATCAACTCTGTGATACTACACAGAACATACGAACCAGTACCGTTTTAGAAAAGGCCGATTCTCAGGCTTTCAGTTTGATGCAGTTTCTCGTGTTGGGTGGTTTTTAAAAATAAAAAGTATCCGGCCTCTGCACACAGAAGAAAAAAACAATGGAAGGGCCACGAGCCTCGATTACTATCAGAACCTTTGTCGCCAAAACTCACACAAACGTGTTAACCACTATGAAATCTTGATAATGATTGGTCCTAATTTTTAATTAAAAAAAAAGAAAGAAAAAAAACTATCAGATTAAGGTACATCTATGTGATAAACTCTGATAACCACACTCGGTCACGCCTGTGTCGTGTTGTAACAAGAATAGAAAAAGATGTAACAAGTCTGGACTGTTAATATAATTGAAAAATTACCTAATTGAAATATCATTGAAAATTCAATACCTATTATTGCGTTACGTTTTCTTTTTACATTGAAATTTCATTTAATGTGCAGCCATCTAGCGGCAATAGCTGAAAGATGACGGAACGATTTACGCCTATTATAGTTCTAAAAAATCCACCATTTTGCAACGATATAAGGTTTACTTTAGTTTCTTATAACATAAAATCTACTACGATAAACAGAAAAAGGAAAAATTATGCAAAATAAGACTTAACGATGATATGGAACACCACCATATTACAGGTGCGATTATCAGTTTCGCAAGTATGAAAATTTTGCCATGGTTTTCGAGGTTTCTCGCGTGATAATTGACATTGATTTGTACTTTACAAAGGGAAAATGGCGAACTGAGCTCTAGTATGTGAAACACTGTGTACTGTTGGCACACGTGTCACGCAAACTAAGCACTTCTACTGTATTTATTGTTCTGTCTCTGGTAGTGAGTTGGTGAGGTTTTGGGTTTGATTCCGGTGGATAAATTTTTCTAAATTGGTTTATTTCTAGTTCCCTAATAATTTCGTTGCTCTGGTAGTCGTAGTATAGGGAATTGAGAATAGGTAATTTGTATGGTTGTTTGATACGTATATACGTATTATTCAGTTTTAATGCACAATACGACACTGACTGCATCATAATTGTCGACTGCTAATGTTGTGGGATGCAGCTAATGTAGTGTTGTGACCAGGTCTCAAGTGAATAAGATTGAATAAGTTGTCCGTGAGGTTCAGTACCGCTTAGAAACTAAGTATTTATTTAAATTGCTTATGTACAGTCTCGTTAATCAACAGCCTCCCACGTCAATTCCTAGAACACTACAGTCCACCGCACCGCTGCGGGTACGGCTCGGCCCGGATGGAGTCCAGGGTGTGCGCCGTCCGAGCGGCCTCCGGCCAGAGGCAGAGGCAGAGGCGGCCCGGCCGGCCAGAGGCAGAGGCAGAGGCGGCCCGGCCGGCTAGGAGGCCTTGGAGTAGCGCTTCCAGAAGCGCTTGACGTCGTCGTGGCCGTGGCGCGTCACCACCATGGTGCGCGCGCGCTCGCTCTGCCACGTCAGCACGCGCTGCGCCCGCGCGTAGTCCCGCAGCGCCGTGAAGTCCGCCTGCGGGGCGGGGGACTTGCGGTTACGCTGCGCGTGACGGAGGGTACGTACCGTCCGTCCCCGTACCTGCGACAGGAACTGGTTGTACACGACGCCCTCGGTGTACGTGAAGCGGTTCCTCTCGCTCTCCCACAGCTTGATCTGGTCCACCACGGTGGGCGGCAGCACCGACGACGTGCGGATGCCGCCCGTCTCCGACTTCAACATCTGCAAGTTCGTTGTGAAATGCTCGATTGGTTTATTTGGACTTGATTGGATGTTGGACTTGTCGTTGTCAATTATACTTTCACCATGGGTTATCAATTCGTACAAATTAACTTTAGTTCCTATTGAAAACTATAGATGGCGACACTTGGTTAAAAAAAGTATTCAATCTCGAAAACTTGAGGTAAGAGGTACTAAATAAGTAGAAAATATAAAAAGGAAATGCAAAACTATTTACATTATAGGAATGTTTAATTAAAATTAATTTACAATTATGATAATTGATGAAGACAGGAAACTATTGTTGAAACACTTAACAAATCGATGGTTTCTCAATGGTATGCGCTTTGAGTTGTTAATTTAGATCTTTAAATCTGTTCTCGGAACTTCGCAATGTTTTAGCATTGATTTAACTGCCTTCGTGGCCGAATAGTTACCATGCCGGATTCTACGCAGAGTTCCCAGGTTCGATTCCCGGGCCGGGAGAAATATTTGTATGGCCTACATTTATTTCTCTCAGAAGTTTGAGTGAAATTTGTTATTGTCTATGTGTGTCCATGGCACTCGCGATACAGGGTTTCCCTAGTGCGAGTCTATGTTAAGTGTGTGCGTTATCATGTGTGCGATTTTTACTTCAAAATATTAAAAGTACAATACTTAGCTTCTTTGCGATTTTATTATATGTCATTGTATATGTAATCAATCTTTGAACAAAAGATTATTGCTTAAAAATGTAATAGCTGCCATCTGTTGGCCATTTCGAATATCATTACAATCACATCTCAGGTTTACTTGATACCATCTAATGTCAGTCTAAGAATCAAAATAAGCGTCCGAGTAGGCGAAGTAATGAGTGCGACGTTTACATTAGATTGGATATCTGTTCAAGTATAGTATATTATTTACGTTATAGTTTAAATATTATACTAATTGCAATGCTAAACGCGAGAATGCAGATACGACCAATTGTCCGACGGTTTGAAAGTAAGACAGATATATGACATCGTCCAAATTTACAAACTCTAATAGAGTTTCTTCAGAAACAGTTCGTCTAGGGAAGGAATGCCATTTCACCTATATTTGTCGCCAAGCAGTAATGCAATAAAGTATACGTACATGGCGCTACAAGTGTTTGTTCGTCGCTAGCTAATACCATGAAAGAAAGAGACAGAAGGCTGGACCTGCGGGTGCGAGTGCTGCTCCAGGTAGTGCACGATCTGCTGCGCCGTGATGCCCCCGCGCAGCGCCTGGCGCACCGACTCGCGCGTCACCACGCCCACCACCAGGTTGGGGAACCTGTACATGAGCTCGCAGAACAGCCCCAGCAGGGCCACCTGCAGGTTGGTCTGCGTGTAGGCGTACACGCGGTAGTTGGTCTCCACCACGACGTAGCCGGCCTGCGCCTGCGCCTGCGCCGGCGCCGCGGGCAGCGCCTCCGCGCCGCGCGACGCGATGTTCAGCGCCAGCCGCGTGGGGTAGAAGCGGCCGGCCTTGCGCTGCGGACCGCACCTCGGTTACCCCTCTGCCCTCCCTCGCTTCTCCCCCGCGCCCGCTCCGCCCACTCACCTTCCTCTGGTACACCAGGCCGAACTCCCTCAGGTGCTGCAGGAAAACCAGCATGTTGTTGCTCATCCCTTCCGTGCTGTAATCCTGCAATTGGTGAACGCACCCTTGTGTGTATGATGTGTGTGTGTGATAAAAACAAATAACTGGATAAATGCCTTTTGGGTAAAACACGCTTACAACAATTGCTTCCAGATTGTATCCTTCACGAATGGAACACAGTGTGGTTTCCTTGTCACATTACCGTGTAGACACCTTACCTTCCCCAAAGTGCTGAAGCTGAGTTGATACAAAAAGGCTAGGCACTCCGCGGCGCTCAGGCTACGCTTCTCCGCTGTGTGCAGATAATGTTGCAGGAACAGCCACACCTGTCACGGGCACAAATGGATGTTAACCACCAAACACTAACTGAACTATCTGTGGTGGCATCATGGACCCATACATATCCTACTGCTGGGTCTCACTTCTAATAATTATTGAATTGTCTTCAACATATAAATATCATTCTGATGTATTTGTTCTTTATTTACGCAAATGATGAAGAGACTCAAAAATGTAGGCCCTTTTATGAGAATCAAACCTACATTGTACATAGAATTCAAGTGCCTTGTCATGTCAGTTGATAGAGGGCATTGCTACTACTGTACTAGAATACTCGTAAACTATAACTGGAAAGAAAAGTCATCAACTGCTCTTCTCATTTTAGTCTTAAATAAGGTACCAAAGCTTTTTACTCACTTGTTTAGCAGTACTTAGAAGGAGAAACTGGAAACCTGCACGAGTAATCACAGCGGAGCCATCCTCCGCATCTCTGAAACATCAAGGCAACACAAAGTTTACGAATATACTAGCCCAGTGGAAGAATGGGTGCTTTGCAGTTAAGTCGACAGACTGTGTTCCTGTGACGATATGCACATACGATTTTATTTTCTGCCCCTCACTAATGGTGAAGGAAAGATTTCAAGGGTTAATTTTAAGGGTTCCTTTAGAAAATGTGTGAAGTTCCCAGCTTGGAAAGGGCTAGTGTACTGGAAGATGTGGTATAAAACCATCTCTTTGGTCAAAACTCATGGCCAGCAATGGGATACATAACAAGATGATGACGATTGTCTAAACATGTATCAAGTCAGAAGTACTAACCCATCACATAATGGTACAAACCTGGTCATGAGCCCAGCATGCAGCAGGATTCTTACAGCATCAGCACTGATGCCCTCAGTCTGGGCGCTGCCCACCATGTAGTGTAACACGCACTCCCAGCGCTCTAGTGCATACGCGTCGAGAAAAGCTATGTCGCGCGCCTTGCCATCCGGCTCCAGTGACGATGACATACTCCATGGTCGACCACTGCAATGGTCATGTACAAACATTACACCTTACAACATATTATTCATATATTTGAAGACAAGAGAAAAAACAAATATATGAGAGAAGAAATTGTTGAAAAAATTACTGCATTCCAGTTTTTTGCTGTTGCTGGTGGAACTACAGGCACATAGGGCTTGTCAATTTTGTCTTTGGTGATGGGCAGAGTGGCAGTCCCCCTAAGATCTTTGCGATTTAAATTAAATAAGTGGATTTGAATCTGGCCTCGCACCTATTCAGTGTTTTGGAATTTATGAGCGAAATTTAACTTGAAACTTATCATGAGCTTTTTGGTGAAGGAAAATATCATGAAGAAACCTGTATGCAAAAGAAGTCCTCGGTAAAATAGACCCCCTTGCTTCAGAGGAGACCCATGTTAGCATAAATGGGTTGATGGTGACAGGAAATTATGTAAAATATCTCACCCTCCAAGTAATGCAACCTTAAGATTTTTCTTGAAGGATTGTGCCAACATCCATCCCGGCAGACCACCAGGTATTGGCGCTTCCTGCCACACTGATAATTCTGAGAGGGCTTCGCATGCTTTGTGCTGTTCTCTGGAACACAATCACTTTACAGATTAGTTCTGTGCAGAAATTTAATAAGAATTTTATTGTGTTTGAAACTTGAAACCACATAGAAGATTGATGACTTGCACAACATTGCCAAATATTGGTCAAGACAGGCACAAAACTGGATCCAACAGTGGAACATAATGCTTACAATGGTATTCACAACTTTTTCAAGTGGAAGTAGTATCTTATATTTGTTTTGTTACATAGGTGAGTCAGTTAATGCAATTATATGAGAGTCTGATGCGTATTTAATAATTTTTGTGTTTTACTGTTTTTACATAAGCGTGCAATAGATTGTTAATTTGCAAAAATATGTGTACTAATATCCCTTGAAACTTACTTGGCATATGCCTGTGACACCCAAGAGGCAACCACGGCCTGCGGGACGGGTTGTTCCACAAACAGAAGTCTAATTACGAAGTGCCGAGCCAACTCCGGTAGTTCTCTACAACAAAAACACAAATAATTTTCATACATATAAAAAGTAACCTCTGTACATATCACAAAACGGCAATATATGTACGTAGATTAGGAAGCTCTTATGTATTTACCTGTAAACAGCCAGACAAATCGTGGGATAATTGTATAAAGTTTCTAAAAAGTGCGGGGAACGACTTTTCAGGTATTCATGGAGATCTTTGCACTGTAGCGTCGGAGAAGGATTCAAATTCAGAGATGACTTAGATTTAGATGATTCAGACATAATAACTTAATATTTGTAGTCACGGTTTCATTCCAAAAAATAAAAACAAATCGAATTTATTTGACAGAACATCAATGCAATCACTGCAATTGAATTATTGAAGCAACTCCTTTGTTTTTATTTTTTACGGCCTGGTTACAGAATCTTTAAGCCAAGTTTTTATTTTGTTGAACTGTGCTCTTAAAAAATGTCTTATAATTTTATTTAAATATTCTTTACATTTATTTTGTAATTTCTTACTTTTTCTATGTGGTAATTCATTGATAATTAAGTTAGTCGTGTTAGTCATATTTATTCTGCAATGAGTGCTCTGTGCTATATGCTTTAAGGCTATGTGTTAGCCAATATGTCATCCGACATTTTTTTGTAAAATATCAGGTTAAGGGTTAATGTTCTTTGTAAACTTGATTATTATTATTTTATTTATTTATGGAGAATTGGCTAATTTATTTATTTATTTTTACTTTATATTATATAACACATCGATTACAAACATTAATTAAACATTATTAACAACTTAAAAATAATTATATGAGATTAAGTACCTTTCAAGCATACCTTTTCGCAATAACACAAACATTGTAACAATATTCTTTACCAACCATTCGAAAACAAGTCGCACTCAAGGTTGATGCCAGGTGAGGGCGGTATAAATGAATTAGCGTGCGTCACGGTTCGGGACCACGGGTTGGCAAACAGAAAAAAAAAAGAATTGGGAAACAAACTTATAAAAACTAAATCGTGTAACTTCAGTTTTTTTCTATTAAACTGAAGGTTAATTGCTAATATATTGGCTAAAGTGCTCATTAGATTCGTTTTAATCGGCATCGGGACAAATATTTTTTTCGTCGTGACTAAGCTTGAATGGAAGAATCATTAAAACAAATTAGTCGCGTTGATTTGTAAGTCGACATATTCGTCGTTTGTAGTGATCCTATGATGGTGGCCCATATTTTAATGTTGAGTGGAGTGTCATTTGTCTGAATTGTTTACCTACCCTCTCCTTTTTTTTTTAGTTCCTCTACGATAGCCAGGCTATACTAAATTTTTTAATATCTCACATTGCTGACAACGACTGAAATTTGCTTGTTTGCTTGATTTTTTGCTAGTGACTTGGTAGGTAGAAAATTATTTAAAGGAATTTTACTGTGTTTTCTAAAAGTGCGCTTGGCGACATTAGTATAAAAAATTTAGAACAAAAATGTTCTTTACGTTAAATATGTTTTAAATTTATCTTGCAATTTATGGCACCCTAACTGCTATCCTGACAACCAACAACAAACTATTATTTGAACTGTCCCAATTTGTTTTATACGAAGAACTGTTAAATATGAACTTAAATAGCCATAAAAATGTCTCTAATTATTGTTTTTTCGCTACATTTAAGGAAACCCCCTTCGAATGATTTGGTTGTCAAGTTCGCTATTTTATTAACAACAATGTAGACAATGCCTTGAAATCGGAAACATTTATTGTGTGAATTGATAAAATACAGATGTTACTTATAAGTAATTAGATCCACAAATCTTACCTAAGTCAGGCGTACAACGCCTTAAAATTACAATTTAATTAAAATTTATTACAACATAAATGTCACCAAATTAAAATTATACATTGTAGTTTGACCAACATGCTAGCCAACAAGTTGTCTGCCATGTGCCCCTGATTGGTGCGATCATGAATGTCAGTCAGGGAATGACATTTTTTTTTATTTATATACATGCCTTGAATAACGAAAATAAGTTATGGGGGCTCTATTTCAATTTTCGATCAGTAGTTGTGAAGGTTCTGTACGCATTAATGCGTAAAACTTTTATTCCTATTATTATTTATAGGTA